AAAGCATTCATTTGCCAGTCCTTGGAAATGGATGTGATATGAGAAGGAGCAGAAGGGGTTTGGCAGATAAAGACTGTCCCATTCTGTCACTCGCGGGTACGCCAGCGTGGTTAGCAGAGGGAGACGAGGTTCAGAGCCGGTGCTGACTCAGCCACAAAACCTCCATCTCCACTTCTGACCCAGGGCTCCTCCTCAGCTGACTCACAGCCTGGACCCTGACTCCCCTCCACCTCCGCCCCCGTCCCCCCTCAAGCCACATGCTCTCTGTAATGCTGTCTTGGCTAAAGCATCACCGCTCCGGAGGAGCCCGTGGAGCCCTCCCTACAGCAGGGACACCAATGCCACCGAGTTCAGGCTAGACTGACAGCATATAACACCGTGAAAGAGGACCACTGTTTTTACATAAGCCCTGGAAACATGGTCATAATTTAGAGTCATTCTCTTGCAGTAAGTTTCCCAACAGGAGTTTTTTTGGAAGGGAACCTAATTTATTACAAAACAAGCTTTGAGAGGCCAAGTCCAGGAACAAGGAAAACTAGAGAGGCCAACAAAGACTAAGTTCAGGATAATTTAATTTGTTTTTCAGAAATTTATATGATTCTATATACACATATACCTACAAATGCACATATGTATGTATATATGCAGCACTCTCAACTTCTTAGCTCAATTGTATTTATTTGCTTTATGCTAACGTTGTCCAGTTAGGCCTCAAAACCACAGCTCAGATGGTACAAGTCCTCTGCCCAGGAACCATGCCCAGTGTGGGCTCTACAATAGAGACAATGCTCAGAAGACCAAAGCTGTGCACAGGAATTCACCACTGCCTTCTCTCCAACGCGTCACACCATCATCCCAAACTCAGTGTATCGAGAGAGGAATGCTAGCTACCAAGGGAGCTTTAATTACACGTTAACACTTTAAACAAATTTTCCTTAGTTCTCCTCAAGTATAAGCATGTGTTTTGAAAAAACAGCATACACATTTGAAGCGGAAGACAACGTCACATTTGCCTGCTTTAGAGAATCAACACCTCCCTTCAAAGTCTGGGATGTTTTCATGTGCAGCAACCTCTGCTCTCCTCAAGCATGAATCTTCAGTCATGGGAGAGCCAGACTTTCAGGTGCACAGCATGAGCTAGGTCCTACCCTCTGATACATATACATACGTATCTCAAATATGCTTCATCAGTGGAAGCCTCGTTTATATGTGCATGCACATATTTATCATTTACACAGGTAAACTGCCAGTAAATCAAGCGCAAGTAAAGAATCTACTCCATATGGAGAGGTTCAACAAAATGTTTAGAGAACACTCACATATGTCTTAAAAAGGCCACTGAATACACTCTGCAGCTAGCTGGATGAATTCTTGTTTGTCATTGTATTACATTTTGCATGTTCAGGAATTTAGAGAGACAGTCAAACTGCTAGCATGGTGAACAACTTATGTTCAATCTTTAATCTTCTCCAATTTTCTAGCTACGCTTCATTCCATGAAGAACCAAATAATCATTACAGATTCCAAGCATGCTACTCCACACTGATTAGTGAAAGATGAAAATGAGAAAGAAACTTTGCCAGGATAATAAATTTGTGCTCTTTTTCTAGACATACTTGCAAAAACCACAGGTATAATTTCTAGAGTTTTGCCTACTTAGGACAGCCTTCTGTATCTCTGCTACTGGTGAACTGTGCAAATGCCAGCTCCAGAAATAGCAATTCTGAACAGTACTCATTCTCATTTTACAAATTAGTGATGGAAGAAAGTCTGTGTTTCATAGAATTTAACATAGGTACGGGTGGACCCCTACAGTTTCAAAAAAGTTCATTTTTTGCCCCACTTCTGTGCATGTCTTTCTACAGCACTTTGGTTTTATTGGGGGGGGGTGGGGGTCCTTCTACAAAGAATTAAAGGGAAAATAAATGTCCACAGTAAGGCAATTCTGAAATAGCAGTGGGTTTGAACCATTCGTTCAACCGGTTTTATTCACCCAGCTTAAAATCCTATCATTGTAGAAACTTTGAAAGCCATATTTGGCAATGTTCTTCAAGAGCAGTTAAGACACAGGACTATTGTTATTTAGTTGGAGCGGAGCGTTCTGTATGTATAAAACTTGTATATATTGTAATGAGTAACTTAAGTGTGGCTGAAGAGTTTAAGCACACACACACACACACAAAAAAATCAACAAGCATAACATTCAGATCTTAAATACTGTGCAAAAAATGAACAGTTTTTGGGTGAGGCAGCAGATTCTCAGTTTGTTAAAAAAAAACAAACAAAACCAGACCTGAGTAGTTTAGATCCTGATTGTGTTTCACCTCCTTTATCTCCTCCAAAGATTGGGGAGATTGCAAGAAGCCAGACAGATTGCAAAGCCTTATCTAAGAACTGTGAGCTGCAGACACAGATCCAGAGCTCACAGCCACAACCTCATATAAAGCCTTCAAGTCTTTTTTTTTTTTTTAATTATGCCTACTAGCAACCTTGGCTCTGTGTACAGAACTTCAGTTGCAAAAATCCACTTGGCTTATTTTGTGATCCTGCTTTAACAAGTAAGATTTTTACTCTGGACTGATCTACCTCAGCCAGTCCAATCCCCAGGCAGTGCCACAGAGGTGAGCGCTGGGCACCGCTGCCAGAATTTAGCCTGCTAACTCCTGCGTGCCTGCTTCAGTACTGAAGCGGTAGCCAGCGTAACATGCAAGAAAGACAGAAACTTAAAATCAGCCGTTTCGCCAAAGGAAAATCATGGTATGTATATTGTAGCCTAATCTCTCTGCAATGGCATTTTGGTTGGACTGCCACATTTCTGAGAATTCCTTATCTGTAAGTGGGGCTGTCAGAGTACACCACTGCAACCATCAGGGAGTCCGCAGCCTTCTTGCAACACGTCTCCTCTCATTCATGTCGAATAGATAGGCTTTCACAGCAGACTGATTCACGTGTAAGGAATGTTTGGGAGATATCCCCACAGAGCCCACAGACTGCGGTTACTGCTTTCATTTGCAGCAATCTGAAGATTCATGTTTCTCTCGTTAAATCAGTGATGACACAGTGAAGTGCAGGTCTGGGCATGGTCCAGGTTCATAATGAACATCTACAAGTACTTCACAGGATATCTATACACATACTGTTCATATACAGACATTCTATAGTCATTTGCAATTTGATCATATGTGCATCATAGATATGTCCATTAATTTCTGCAAATACTTACACCATGCCACTAAAAATAAATCTTTACTCTCAAAGAGAAGTAATACCATACTTTCAGCACTGCGGAAGGTGTTGATTAGCCTCCTGCTTGGCAACCTTGTAAAGCATTACATGGGCTATATTTTATGTACCAACTTATTTCCATGAGTCTTCTCACCATATATAAAAATTAATCACTTTAAGAACTTTGCAGAACCACGTCTTGGCTTTGTAATGTCACACTTGAGAGAGGAGGACTTCATTTTTGTATTTCACATGGGTCTTAGACCAGCTTTTTTCGTGTTGCAAATACTTCCCCAAACTAAACCATGGAAATTTGGACCTGGAGCTGTATGTAGGTGAGGTGTAAGTGGAATATATCCTATAATTTGTTAATCATCTGACACTTTCTCATTCCTTCCCTTTCCTGTTCGTTTTCATCACAAAGATGCTCAATGACATATGTTCAAGGCCTTTTCAAAAGAACAAAAGGGAGGAAGGAAACAGGTCAAAAAGGGAAAAAGGAAAGGAGGAAAACAGAGGCTGTCAGGAAAACAGTGCAACTAGCTGTAATGGCACTCTTCATTTTAAAACGAAAACTGAAGTAAAGACATTTATTACCTTAGAAAAAGTTAATCATCATTGGGAGCTTATTAAAAATGAATAAATAAAAACAGAGGCCTCTATGTGCTGAAGGTAACATGCATCCTTCTCCCTGGTGCTTTTGAGAAGTTTCAATGCAATGACGCAAACAAGAAGAAAGATTTTCAACACTGCCTGTCTACCGAGTCCATAAAATAACACTTCAGTGACCGTTTTAATTAAAAATTCCTCCACAGTTCGGTGTCTAGTTACATTCCAGTGTGCTCTTCCTCTCTGTTCTACCTCTATAGAGTCATGTCACTTAAAACTTACCCTTCTTGGGGCAACTTTTAGCCATCGCTTGGCACTAAATAAGCAAAATGCTCCAAGACAAAGCTATTAAATGCATTCTGTGATAGCTAGATGAAACAAGTGGCATGAACTAGAGTGTTTTGTACAGTTTTGTCGACAAATGTTCAATGGTTCTCTCTATCAAAATATGGTATTGCATGCTCTGCTGAAAAGAAGGTGATTTCCTGTTGTTTCCACAGCCAAGCAGATCATCCCCTTCAGTAACTACCACGTAGCAATCATTCACATTCTGTTTGCAAAAAAGCAGTTACAGGAAAGTATTTAAATCCATAAATAGTGCAGGATTTTCTTTTGCTGTTGTTTAGCAACTAGAATCAGTGCTAGGTGACAGAGGCAGATCCCCAGACCTCCAAGCAGCACTTTCCAGAGAACAAATGAAACTTATTTGGCCAGCCCTGGGCTCGTACAGCAGGCACCAGGCAGCAAACTGAGAAGCCTGCTGAATATGCTATTATTTGCACCTTGCAAAACCCTGTTTAATAAAGCAAGTAGTTCTTGTGAGCCTGGAATGAATGAAGCTTACTGCCTCATGAGTTTACATCTTACACCTGATTGACACCAATTCCTAAAGAGGGCAGAAAACCTTTCTGCCACGACTGAAGCAGACTGTAGAGCAAGGTCCTTTTAAGATCACTCTTACATGCTGTGTTTCCACAAAACTTGCAGAACAAAAATACATGAAAATCTGTCAAAATCAGTTGATATCAGACATAGTTTCAAAAAGTGTATTAAAGGGAGGCTTACATGAATGGACACATTGCATGGGATGGTAAAAACCTCATTTCTGCAGAAAAACAAGTTTAAAAGATTCTAAGCTACGAAATCCAAAACTGAACTCCACTTACCTTAGTGTTCATACAAGATTTTCCACGTTTGTACTCTTTGTGACTTGCTCTTTTATCAAGCTTGTTCCACAAAGCTTTGGCCTTCCACGTGGTCACTCTTGACTTCAGTTTGGTGTAAAAGTTTCTATTGTCCAAAGGATCTAATTCAAGTTGGCGAGTGAGAATATTAAAGGCCTGAATGGTACCTTCGCATGTTGATGCTTGTACAAAGTTCTCAAATATCTGGCCAGCTTGACTGTATTTTTCATCATCGTTTTCCCCCATGTTCTCAGAGAAGTGTTTAAAAAAGATTAAGCTGGAGCTCTCGTGCTGGGGTACAGGTGATAAACACTACCAAGTACTTCCAAGCATGTTATTCCTAGAAAAGATAAACACAGGCCATGTTAAAGCAGGTTCTGCCTAACATAATTAAACCCTCAAACTGCATACCCAACATAAAAATACAGCATATGGCAACTGGACAACCAGGTACAAAAAGTTAGTAGTGGTATCCAAGTGTTTCAAACATAACAGACTTGTGCTGTCATGACATGTACTTTACAAAGACTGTTATAAAAACCTTACAAACTCAAGCCTACAGCTTCAAAAAGAACAAGCTTCACTGAAGCCTGAGGATTTCTTTAATTTTTGTTCAGTGTTAAGTGCTAGATAACAGATAAAGAACGAACAAATGTCCAGATGCTTTTCCTAAGCAGAATTTACGTCACAGCAAATACATCTCCAGTAATGTTTTGGTCGTAAGAATTCTTAGAAACTTGCAGCCAAAAGTCAACACTGAGGAAATTTTCTCCTGTTGCACAAGCTATGGCCAAGAGTGCAGCTTAGCCAGAGCAATTTAAAACTGGCATAATCACTTGCATATGCACAAAACAGTCTAAGCAGAAACATTATCAGAAGTTACACCAGAACTGAAGAAACAGGAAACAATGAGGGTGGTGGAACACTGGCACAGGCTGCCCAGGGAGGTGGTAGATGCCCCATCCCTGGAAACATTCAGGGTCAGGTTGGACGGGGCTCTGAGCAATCTGCTCTAGTTGAAGATGTCCCTGCTCACTGCAGGGCAGTTGGGCTAGATGGCCTTCAAAGGCCCCTTCCAACTTCAATGATTCTATGAAAACAAGTAATCAGAGAGCTCCCCTTTTTCTAACTCTCTTGCCAAAATGAGAAAGGGTTTGGTGCTCTAGTGCATAGGAAGGAATTTTATCTCCATGTCTCCACATGTTAAATGCTAAAGTTATGTGTTTGGAGTCTTACCTTGTCATGTGCTGATGATAAAGTAATGATGTTTGGCCCACTAAGCCCCATTGGCTTTTCCTAGTAACACGATCACTGTCAAACTGTGCCTGATATTCCAGATAAATACCTTTACATTCTGTAAGAGCAATGCTATTCTAAATTAACATAAGTTTGAAAGAACTAAAATTGTGGCACTCCCTTATCCTCCTTTAACCTTGCTCTCAATCTCTAATGGGGAGTGTCCTAGAGTCAGGCAACGTCCACAGAAAATATCCAAGTGGCTTTCACATTTTCCAAGAAAATTGTTACAAGTTATGTATAAACTTGTCCTCAGAAGAGGGTCTACCTGGACTCAAGTCCAGAGATTCAAGTCATGTATTTTTTTCCTTGCTATTAAAGAATTATCTGCCAGTCCAAGAAACCAAAAACTAAATCAATGCTTGCCTAACCTCCCACATAATTAGTTATTTTACTTGGAACATCATCTGTTGGCTGATAGTTTTAGAATAAATTGTTAGAAAGGCCTTTGAAGTTACGCTTTTTAATTTAACACTGTTCACAAACTATTCATTTTCTGCTTGCACTTCCTTCAAAGAAGGAAAGAGAAAACATAACCAGTGTATTTAAGTAAAGAAGAGACCTGCTGTGTCTATCTTACAATCCTCTAATACAGAAAAATATTATGCAACTTAAAGAGATCCCATGGGGAGATATAAGGAAGCATTTGGAATACTTACATTCCCTGGCTGCGCCTAAAATAAATAACCTTTGTGTGCACATCATCAGTCTGTTGTTGGTTTGTGGGTAAAATAAATTGGTGATGTTGAGAGTTTGTACATTTTCTTAGACCAAATGTCATGATTAAATAGTTGGTGCCAAGAATAAGTCAGGGAATTTTTGTTTTCCCCTCTGAATACTTCATTTATAGTATGCTCCATGCCCTTTTCTGAAGGGCTTTGTGGCTTTGTGAGGTAAAAGCACAAACATTTTATTTGCCCTGACTTCCCGAAGGTCTAATTTTTTCAAGAAACCGAGTGCCATGAACTCCCATTGACTCAAAAGAAGTTCAGGACATCCAGCACCTTTCTAGGTCCAAGTCCCCGCTGCTTAACAAGCAAACTCCTCCAACAACTGCATGCCGGCAGGAGGGAGCCCGGCCACCTTGGCTACCCCGGTGTGGGTGCAAGGGGGGCCCAGCATCACCCTCACCAGCCCCGGCTTTGGGAAGGCAGAGCAACACAGCAGTTTTTGGGTCAATCCAAAACCAGCTAATAGATCCAGTAGTTCCTAGGGGAAGGGGAAAAGTAGGGGATTGCCATGCAGAGAGGCTGATGCATGTCTGGGCTTAAGCTTTACACACGAGTGCTATTGCAAGGGGAAGGCAACACGGGGCAACTAAAGACAGCAACAGCACAGAGCAAGATGCTACACCGCAGCTTCAATAGCTTGATATACAGGCACCCCAGGATTTGAGACCCATTGAAAAAAGAGAATTAAAATCAAGGATAACACACTTGCTTTACCTGACTTCCACACCTGCCTGAGATTTTTTTTGGTAATACAAAAGCCAAAGTTTGTTGGGTTTTGGGGTTTGTTCCCCACCCCCCCACACCCCCCCAAAAAATTATGAATCACTTCTTGGGGAATGGGGACGAGTCAGTGAAATGTTCCACTTCGGACATTTCAGCTAAGGGAGTGGCAGCCAGATTAGGTTTTCTTAATCGCTATAAACTCACACCACGACTGCCTCAGCGCTACCAAAGACTTTGACCAACTTAACAGCTATAAAACAATACTTCCTCTCCATCGTTTTCATTAGCTCACCACAAGACTGTTATCATGTTCAAAAAATACAAATATCTTCGAAAGTTAATTCTGGTGTAACTGATAAGCAAGTCTGCTCACAGATAAATTAAAGAGCAGTGTTTAATTTATTATCTTTAATTTAATTTGTTATCTTTTCTGCTCAGAGGGGAGATTTTTATAGCCTCAGCTGTTTCCATCCAGCAAGGACAGAGAGGGGCGGGGAGAGAAAAGCTAAAAGAGTAAACCCGTATCTGAACCAAAGAAAAGCAGCATGTGCTGGGGCTGATAACGGCGAGGAGACCACAGAAGAGATGGTCGGCAGGAGCCACTGCAGGCAAAGGGAAGGAGAGGAAAACACTTTTAGCATGACGCAAACCAGTGGAAATAGGTGCTGCGCACACACACGCAGCGGGCCTGGGCTTCCTCTGCCTTTCCACGGGGGAAGAGCGCGGTTGGGGAGGACAGCCAGGACACCTTCCCCAGCCTGAGGGCTTCCCTCCTCCGCCACTGCAAAGCCCGGGCTGAGGCTATTCTTTCTGGGCACAAAATCTCCTCCTCATGAGCTTCCAAAACACTCCCCTCCTGTCTATACTGAAGAGCTGTGGAGTGGCATCTCAGCAGAGACATTTGCTCACCAGCAAAGCATTTCTCCTTGCTGTGTCAGAGGTCATGCTCTCCAAAAAAGCCACATTTTGTGGTCAGAAAGGCAGGATGAGACAGGAGACTGGTTACTGGGGTTTCTGGCTTGCTGGAAACACCACTTTTTTTTTTTGGCATGAATATTGTGTTGACAGATGACAGAGAGGAAGATAGTGCTCTAAGTATATGCAGCTCATGGAAAAGTTTACGTTTCTGAGGAGTCACCAATATTTCACTGCAGTATTGTACATAACACACTAGAAACAATGCAATAAGGACAATAAGTTGAATGGAGTAATTCTTAACTATAATTAAAAAGTGTCAACTTCTGTAACTGCCTCAAAAACTTAAGACGCAATGCATAAACTGCTTACCTGCAGTTAAAAAAACCCCACAGTGTTTGGGGAAATACTTGAGTTTAGATCATTATTATTCACCCTTTTCTTCCTTCATCATATAGATCACCAGGGATGAAATACAGATCCAAAAGTCTCATCAAGGTTAGTATTGATGCTGAAACTGCAAACTATGCCTTTCAAAGTGACCACTGAACTTCCTCTGGAACCACAATCCAGAAATATAATGAAGTTTATTTGAAACTTCACTGAAGTGCTACAGAGCCAAACAAAAATTTGGGCCACAGAAAGGAAGAGAATTAGAGAAGAGGAAATAGACTGGACAAACAGTTCTTTTAAGTCAGAACTGAAGCATCCATGGGTTAGAGTCACAGCTAAGAACTGTCATTTTGGGTCCCATGCATGATATATTAAGCACATACAAGAATTTGGCCTTCCTCATGGCTTCTCGTGGTATTACAGGAGTCTTCCAAGGGCTCCCAGACATGAAGTGCAGACACCGGCAAGAACGACTGCATTTTGATGATCCCTTCTACTGTAATTCTGTCATAAATTAGCCCAATCTCCTTTCTGCCTCTAGTTGGGGGCAAACAGGACTGCCAAATGAGAAAAATCCAAGAAGTACTATTCTTGCCTGGTGGCTACCCAAGGAGAAAGTGAGGATCTTATTACAACTTAAAGGAAAGCAATAGAAAAGGGAGCGAGAGAAAGTAGAAATTAAAGCAATGGTGCATGTACAAATGTATATATATAGGAAAGCAAACGCCTCCAGTCTTGGCTGATATTTCCTGCCAGTAAACAAGCTCTGTTACTGCAGATTATTTTGAGAAGAGTGAAAAAATGCCTCCACTGTCAAGGTAATTCCAGTAATTATTACTAGTTAAATGGATATATGGAGCTGGTTCACATCTGCACATGAAGACTTTCAGTATAATAGAGCAAGCAGTAAAGTGGACATATACGAGTCATTAAATGAAAATAACTTTTTGAAAGCAGTACCATGTGAATTGCTTGTCAGCAGTGTTTTGCGGTAGTGTACTCAAAAATTAAAAACACTTTTTGTCTTAGTTGTCCCCCTGGAGAGAGAACAACCCTAATTTTAATTCAAACTTGCAGCCTTAAGTCCTTCCTTAGTCCCTTAATACTCTGTTTCTAATATTTGAGAACATGTTCCTCGGGGAGTAAATTCCTCACATTTCAATACCACTAATCCCAATTCCATTTTCA